CTTAAACAGCATCGCTTTTGAATAGTACTGTACTTCAAGAGTGTTTTCTCATGTATATACGTTGGGCGACTAATCATCTTCACCCTCTGTGTCAGGGACTAAATGCCAGGTGGGATGTCAAAGGGCTGCTCTTCACTTGGATGATGACTCAGTGTGGCATGATGCCTCTGATCCACTCCCCAGCTTTGTGAATAAAGAATACATTTTGATTGACGCTGCGCACATAATGGCCGTTTGAGAGTTGGCAGGGGAGGAAAAAGACACGTCTGTCATGTTGAATAGCCCCCTGTCTCTGCTGCTGAGGGCCAAGTTGGAGAAAGCACTTTTCAGCTGCTTTCAACATCTAACCCTATACAATGCTCTATTATGGGAGCCTACCCTGCATACATGCTATCCATCCGCCGTCACATGTGGCATGCAGGAATCCAACCGCGTTTCATCAAGCTCTAAGCATGGAGAACCCAAACAGAGATCGGGTTACCTACAGTTATGTGCTTATTGTATACACAGTGTGACAAGGCAAAGCACAGATCAGCTTTAATCAACCAGAGTAGATGATAAAATGAGCTTAGCTACTGATACAAAACACTGCACTCTTCACACTTTCAGATCCTCCTCAGTATTCTAACACGGTGCAACCTCATAAGCAAATGCATTAACAGGGATAACAAGAAACCAAGACAATGGGAATCTAAGCAACAAATCCTGTGCCCTGGTATGTGCCTTTGATTTGCAGTAAATAGGTGGAAAGCTCTACATCTACCAAAAATAACAACAACAAAATGCAATATAATTGTGTTTAGAATATAAATACGCCAGCACAGAGCTCCGCCACATCCAGTAGATATACATTGTAAATAATGTATCGTAGACAAGGAAAAGCCCCATGAGGGCAGCTGTTTTTAATACATTAAGAAAATATAGTGAGCGTCTAACAGATGTCACACACACATTCATCGGTGCGACTGGGGGAATGAAGCAGACATATTTGAAAACAGCCAGGTTGGTTATTGGTCCCAGCAGGGGACATGTATCCAGGCACTTGGGGATATATTACCTTGCTGTGTCGTAATCAGTACAGGATGTATGTGATCAGTGTGTGGCCATCAGGCTGTGAAAGATGGGATATAAATGTGACCTGCAGGTTACAATACTGTCAGCAACCTTTCAGGCAAGGAAAGCTCAGAGTGTGTAAGAGCTTTCGTACATGCACATGTTAGTTTCTGTCTATGTACATGATTTGTTCGCGCTGTCTTTTGCTGTGCTCTGTGTACTGGACAAATTCAAAGCAATCTGCCACCTCTCCCAAAACTAGCCAAGCACTGACTGTAACACAAAGAACACCTGCTGAGATGATGGAGATGGCTAACAGCCAAGACAACATATGGGTCTCATTCTGGCCCTAATGAAGACAACCTGACATAAAACAGACAGCTCTGGGGACCTGCATCATCCCACTGCAGTGTTACTGACACTGACGTAAACATATGATCATCCTTAGAGGACTGAGGCTGGAGAAGGGAGAGGAGAAGAGAAACTAGAGTTGGGGATGTAATACAGTACATTTAATGCATAATAGTTTGGCCTCCTAGAAGCATAAAAATCTGTGTTCTTTGAAGCCTACAGGTAACAGCATACCTTCCACAGTTGCAGGTGGAAATGATTTTGCTGCAGTAAACAAGTGCCAGTTTGGAGCCTTCACAAGGTGCATGAAGTGTCAGAACAGAAATGTCAAAAAAAGAAACTTCAGTTTGGAAGGAACACAGGTAATTAAGTGCTTGAGAGAAAGTTGTTTTCAGCCATGCTCAAAACGCAAATATACCTTTGATTTGATTTGTTTCCACACAGTAGAGAGGGAAAGGATTCTGTGCCAGAATACTAAAATAATACTACTTGCAACCCCTAACCTCCGTCCTTGCTGTGATCCATGTGGAAGTCTGCAGCTATAACGGTTAATATAACTGGCTGACAAGGAAGCTCTGGCTGTTTAGAGAGATAATGGCCCGGACCACAGACAGGCACAATAGCCTCGCTGTGCAAAGAAATGTTGTTGTGCCAGTTCACGGCCCTTTATGTTGCCTATTTATAGTGCACCATAATTAATAGGCTGTAAGTGAAGTTTATAAGGAGAGCTGAAATGTACAACGTGCATTACACACAGGTCTCACGCTCTTACAGGGAGAAAAAAGTGAGACAAAGCTGTCAAATGATAGTCGTCGCAGCTGTCAAATCGCATATCAACAGACATGTCTTTTTGTCTTTTTTTCTAAATCTGCAGTGACACTGGGCTCGATTCATACATTATCAATGCTGAACAGAATATGCAAAAGAGAGCAATGCGCTTCTGTCACCATTTCACACAGACAAAGGCACTTTTCAACATTAAATGACAGAAAGGCTTAATAATCATCTATTGCTGTCAAAGTTCATCAGCTTCCCATTTCACAGGGCGCCCGAGTAGTGAGGAATCACGCCAATCACATCCTGTGATCCATGTTTCTCAGCTGAAGTCATAACTCCTCAAACCTTCCAGTTTAGCACTCTCATCACTTATCACGCCCGCTTTAATCCGTTCATTAGGGGAACAATCCAAGTCTCTTATTGAAAATTAATGGTATTTAAAAGATGATGTGACGTACTGTACGAGTGTGAGCAGTCTTCCTCATAGTATGTTAATGATTACAGCATTCTGCTAATCAGTCAATTAATCACCATCTTATGAATTTAATCTCTTACTTTGGCACTGTTCTACGTAATAGGTTTTAAGCATTCAAATCCATGCCTGGATTACAAATGAGGCTTATGCTGGTAGCATGCTCCTCACAAGCAGGGTTTCCATTGACAACCTTTGATTTGTTATTTGATGTAACGGTATTTTTCTTCAGCACAAGGATATGTCACAATGAGAGTGCACAATGCATCAATTGAAATTCCTGCAAAGCTCCTTTTTTTTTATATTTCCTGTGTATCCTTACCGCTGATGTTCTTCAAGGGTGGTATTTTTAGATGAAAAATAACCTCTCCACAATCTTTGGATCTCATTCAAAAAGCTCAAAAGCCTATTTTGCTTTGGTGATTTCACACAGTGCAGATGAAAACAAACTCATGTTTATTTATCACATTGATAAATTTCACATATCAAGAGCTTAATTAGTCAAAAAGAGGGTGAAAGAGAAGATTTTAACTTAGAAAAGTAAACAGTAGTGGAATAATTTGTAATGCCTTTCTGGGCTGGCTTTTACAATGAAGCTGATCAATATTTCTAAAAAGGTTTGCAATTGTTTTGCAAAACTGTTCAGTAAATGGCAGGTGCACACATTTAAGCTTTGGCCTTTAGTTGTTTATGGCAAATATGAGATCATGACATTTTGTTTTCGTTTATGTTTCTTTTCCTATTTTGGTACAACCTTCTAATGAGGCACCCTACAGTATATGGAGAGTTTATGGGTTATAACAAATGGTTCTTAGTGTAAGCAAATTAAAAGCCATTAATAAGAACAACTTAGCCCAGTGCCAAAGTGCAGCCTCACAGAGCTGCTAATGTGTCTGTAGAATCTTGTCCAACAGCTATCATACTGAGGTAATGCTGAGAAATACTGGAACAAGCTATGAAAAACCAAGAGTTTAGCTGCAGAGAGTTAAGTGAATGTTATTAGTTTCTATCTGGGTGAGGACATTAACTACAATTCCTCTATTTACACTTTTTAAGCATGGTTGCCTGTTTTGTGATGTCTACAATAAACAGAAGTATCATGATGATTTGTGCTTGTGCCAAACAATTATGTTTGGTGAAAGCACAAGGTTTAAGTTTATTGGAGCACTGGCAGCGCTTTCTGAATGACAGTCATATCTTCATTTACCTCAGCTGACAGAAACACTAATGTGATTTACCCGTGTTTTGCCTGAAGGGATTCAGTGACAGAAATGCACAGAACGGAGCGACAGATAAATTCTAGTCTCTGCCAAAGCTCGCCAAACTTAAACCGAGGAAAAGGTTTCTGCTCAATTAACACATTTCACTTTCTTTTACTCAGCCTTGGCTTATCACCATGCTAATAAGTGGACATGCTGTGTTATTTATGGACGAGGCCAGAGCACAAAGGGGGCTACTGCTGGTCAATTAATATTTAGAAAGTGCTGTAGACATTCAACCAGACCTTTGATGAGAGAGGCCAACATGTTGCACTCCTCGATACACACATCAGGTAGAATAGCAAACGGGTCCAAGCAGAAACACACTGCAAGATTATTCAGCCAAATAAACTGTAATTAAGCACTATAAATGGAGACTGAACTGAATGCTAAATAAAGCATTGATAATGTACTTTTCAGACAATAAGCATGCAAGAAGATAGATGGATAGTTTCTACAGGGCCTTTTAATCTTTCAGCAAAAATCTGCATTTGTGTCGCCTATAGTGCATACTGCAGTCACGATTTCCTCGTTTCAATTTGGAAACTACTCCAAAGTGACTTTAAATATTTGCAGAAAATGATCTCTTTGCCTTTGTTTCTTTTCCCCATTTACTCTTTCTTAAGGAAAAATTGTAGTGCCAAGTAATGCGAAAGAAAGAAAACGAAAGAGGTGCCAAGCAGTTAGCTACTATATGAGACTTTAAAATGGGTTTCTACAGTTATTTTTAATAAATCCTCTATTACTTTACCTTCCAGAATTAAACTACTGGGTATTATGACCCCAAATATGCTGAATATAATAACATTACTATCAGAGCATATTAAGTCATGCATTCAGACGCCTTGTGACACAGACAATAGAGAGGTAATGGCATCCTGAAGTAGTCTTACTGTAACATTGCTTCTGTGCCATCAATACTGAAACAGGCTATATTTGAGCCAAAGCTGACACATTACTTGGCTCCTCATATGTGGAGGGCCATTAGCAATGAAAACTGTGTTATATGGCCCAGTAGTGCTGACAGGTTTCTTTCTCCTTCTCCTCCATCCTCCCCCCTTTTCTCCTCTTATATCTCCCTCCTCTAGGCTGTGGATAGGCTGGCACGTGGCGAGAGGGGGAAAGATGGAGCTTCAGCCTGGTGTAAGAGCCTCCCCCCGGGGAAGCCGACATCGGACGCAAGGCCTCATGGGCCGTTGACCTGTTGTCTCCGTGATTTATGGCGGCTGGGGGCCTTTGGCCACTGCAGACTTCTCTCTTCTCTCTTGCAGGATTGCAAGAAGCCACACACATTGCACCACCATCTACAGGAGACTCCAAAGAGGAATTTCTTGCACATGCTGAATTGCAGCACACACATGCATACATGCATAAATCCGCAAGCCACACTCTTGCTTCCTACACTGTCGCATATAAAAACAAACGCCTCCACAAACAATTCTACACTGCAGCACTGGGTCCTGCAGTCTCATCACATGTCCATTAGACCGAGTCCACTCTCAGAGTATTCTCCATTTGATAGTGTGTGGATTACTATCTGTCATGGGGCGCCAGCTCTAGACCCCCTAGCGAAGCTGCTATTCAGGGGAAGAGCTGGATCAGTGGAAGTGCACTAAGTAACGAGGTGATGTTTATGTTTTCTTGGGGCCTGAGAGCAATCAGCAGCCAGGATCTCCCCACTGACTCCACAGAAATTCTGCTTCTATGCTGCAACAATGATCCTCCTCAATGGACTATTAGTACAGTGACTTATAGTATTATTTTAATATCAGACACACTGTAGTTGGACTTTTGCTCCTGTGCACACCAGAGCTGTCAGAGCACCTTAAATACCTTTTATTCTCCGGCATTAAAGGTTTGGAGAGAATTAAAAAAAAGTGTTTACCTTTAGGACTATCTTTACTTTTGAAAGCCGTGGACTGAGAGTGAGAGCTAGTAGGTGCCCTCACCATGGTGTTGCCACCCCCAGACAAACGCCACGTGTGCCTGACCACCATCGTCATCATGACAAGCATGGCCTTCATGGACGCCTACCTGGTGGAGCAAAACCAGGGTCCTAGGAAGATTGGTGTGTGCATTATAGTGCTGGTAGGGGACGTATGCTTCCTCATAGTGTTACGATATGTGGCAGTGTGGGTGGGTGCAGAGGTACGCACAGCCCGACGAGGGTATGCCATGATCCTCTGGTTTCTCTATATCTTTGTCCTGGAGATCAAACTCTACTTTGTCTTCCAAAATTGCAAAGCTGACAGGAAGAGTCTGGAGACAGTAGCACGGAAGGCTTTGACGTTATTATTATCTGTGTGTGTACCAGGTTTATACTTGGTTCTAGTGGCTCTGGATAGTATGGAATATGTAAGAACTTTCCGAAAGAAAGAGGACATGAGGAGCCGTCTGTTCTGGGTGGCTCTGGATCTGCTGGACCTGCTGGACATCCAAGCTAACCTGTGGGAGCCACAGCGGACAGGCCTGCCCATCTGGGCCGAGGGCCTGATGTTCTTCTACTGCTACATCTTGCTGCTCATCCTGCCCTGTGTATCACTCAGTGAAATCAGCATGCAGGGGGAGCACATGTCACCCCAGAAGATGATGCTGTACCCGGTACTGAGCCTGGTCACCATAAATGTGGTCACTATCCTTATACGTGGTGTAAACATGGTGTTGTTTCAGGATAGCCGTGTTTCTACCATCTTTGTTGGCAAGAATGTAGTGGCCATTGCCACCAAGGCATCTACCTTCCTGGAGTACCGCAGACAGGTGAAGGAGTTCCCCCACCCGCAGAACGCCATGGCACTGGAGCTCCAACAGAACTCTGTTAGCCACACACAGCAGCTGCCTAATGCCACCAGTTTGCCACACGAACCTTCACCTGCACAGGACGTCATTGACACATGACCGCCAGCGCTGGACTAGTGCCATTAGATACTGACTGCTTTTTATGAAAGCTCCAGGCATTGAGGTAGATAGAGAAATCAGCTGCATGACAGGATGATAGTCTGCTCTTGTCAAGCCCACATGAACGACTGAGAAACCATAAAAGAGCTTTTCAGCATCACCTGCCTGTCAGAACATACTGCAAACCTACAACTGACTCAGAGTGTGCAGACTTTAAAATCAAGTCAAGGTCAAAGTTTTTATCATGTTATTGTGTTTTTAATTGTTTAAAAATTCTAAATTTATAAGAGACAATCTACAAACTAAGCAGCCTGGTGACATTATGCTGTGTAAAATGAAGAGTTGGTCCTCCCTCGGTGAGTATCTTGTGTTTATTTTTAAAGGTCACTTTTTCGACAGTGCATCTGTGGCATTTCCTTTTGATTCCAGCACAAAAGGACATAGCACTCAGCGTGAAGCATTGATGGAGAGGAGGAGCAGAGAGTGACAGGTGTCAGTCATGAGGGGCTGTCTGCGCTGTGCTAGAGCAAAGTTGGTGGCAAACTAATGCTTTTCCTTCCATGTTTGGTTCTGCTGAAAAAGAAGCTCTGTGGAAGCCGTTGCCTTGGTCAGTGTGACGCTTAACAACCAAAGGTCAGGTTAAAGTATCAGAGCTCAGCACTATAACATCCACCGAAGGCACTCAAGAGTGTGTGTGTGTGCATCCGCTTATGTGCATGCACACGTCTGTATGCCTGAAAGCGTACGAGTTCACCACAGGAGGTTTAGGTTATTTCACATTATTGTGGAAGAGATGCGAGTGGTTGATGTGTGTGATGAATTGCAAATGATAAAAAATATATAGTGATATCAGAAAAGAACAAGATGATGATGGAGGAAAGATACTTTCTCTATCCTGTACTGTACATTCCTCTAAAACTAGTTTAAGCCTTGCAATCAAAGAATGCAGTGATCCAGACAGCGCCTCACTGAAGAATTAACAAAAGAAAAAAGCATTAATACATTAACATTCAAAAAGAAAATACTTTTCCTGATGTTATTCGGTTTATTATTATTACTATTATTATTATGTACGTATATTCTTCACTTGTTGGAGGCCAAAGTTGGTTTAATAAAAGTATGAATAAAAGGGATACTGATAAGAGTGTGGTGTCTTTTTCCAATCTGAAGATTATGATTAAAATAAACATTTCTATAGCTATATTCACAAGTATTTAGTGTTCTTGTGGTACTTCAAAGCAACAGCAAAATAACTGCAAAGCCATCTTTGCTGCATGTTACATGGAAGAACCCGTGCAGTACATATTTGGTTGAATAGTCTCCTAAATGCAAAGCCATCTCTGCTGCATGTTACATGGAAGAACCCATGCAGTACATATTTGGTTGAATAGTCTCTCCCTGGACTCCAGCATTAATTGTATTTACCCCTCAGGCGACCACATTTGCAGAAAGCAAGCAATGAATTTATCTTTACAACATGAACCTAGTGTCAATTTGTTTCTCTCCTTTCCTCTGAGTTCTCATTATCACTTACCCATTTGCTTTTTGTTCTGTTAACACTAATCTTCTCCATGCTGACCTAGGACACATTTCATAGCTGATGATTTGCCTTCATGTTTCCATAGGGAATTTTATGAAGTGACCCAGGTGTTGTGTTGGGAGGTACACAAGGAAAGTCACTTTACTGCTATCTGCTAATCTCAGCTCACAGAGACACACTCTCAGACCTTGAATGACCCCACTCCATTAACAGGAACTGCAGCTGCAGACTGTCAGAGAGAGGGGATGATTAGCAAAGGAGTGACATTTTCCCTTTTACTACACCCAAGCACAGTTAGGGACATTTTCAAACGATCATGCAGATTTGATTCATGGTTCTCAAAATAGTGCTTTGTAGAGCTCTTAACTATTTGAACCACCGACTGACCTGACTGCAAAGATCGAAACAAATAATCAGTCATTGCTGGCATTTGAGCTACTATTAATTAAAGCTGTCCTTGGTTGCAGGGTTGACATTAAAGTAAGGGGAAGATGATAGTTCGTTTGACGACGCAAAGCAGATACAGCCATTCCATGAGCTTCAATATATTCATTTATATTCAGGTAAAAGTCTGCTTGGCTGGCAAATTCCTATAAGGCCCAAGTTACAGTATGTGTGCATGTTTACTAACTACATGTAGATAGCTTTTTGCTAAATATGCAGAATGCACAAAAAAGCAGTTCATCAGCTGCAGAGGTGTTGATTTAATTCCCCACACCCAGTATACTATTGCTTCAAGCTCATCAAACAAGCAATCATTTAACTGAGTGAGCAGGGTTCAGTTTGGGGTTCACAGTGTCTGTACAAACTGCCAGTCTCTTCTCTTGAAATCGCTTCTGTAGAAAGAAATCGATTGTTCTTGCTGGTGGAGTATTAAATATTTCTCAGACATATTTCTCTGGGCACATCCTGTTCATTCTGGTTGTTTGTTTTCAGTTCAGCTCCTGTCTTACACTCTCACTTCACCATAAGGTCTAATAACTGACAGATGAAATAAAAAAGTATTAAGTGCAGTTTGACATAGTGTAGTTTTGCTATTATTTGCAAGGGATTTCCTACTGCTGAATTCTTCACCATGCTCATAAATGTAAAGACTCTGTTCACAGTTGCTTACGGTATATGGGGTGTTATATGTTTTATCTTACTTGGTCTTACATTGGCTTACGCATTCCCATGGCTGGAAACTCAGCTAACTTACAGAATGTGATAAAAGAGTGAAAATGAAACTGGATGATTCCTGAATTCTGGTGATTCAGGATAATTGTGTGTCATTAAACCTGGATCTTTGGCCACAGGTCCTATCAGTAATATTAACATTGTACTCACCAGGGTTATTGCTGAGATATGGGACCACAGTGACATTGGTAAAAAGAGGTCAGAGCAAAAATAGCATGTGGTCAGACAATCAGACATGTTTTAAATAAGCTCACAGAAGTGCAAACTAAGGCAAATGGTGAAAGCATTACAGGTCTCTCACACCAGTAATGTGAATGCAACACAGTGCTAAGCAACGCTGTTATTTTCAATAGGAAGCACAAGTCATACTGATAGACACTTCCCTGATTTCCTATCAAGTTTATGGCACAATCTCAGTTTGATTTAACTATGATCACAAATATACTCACCTCCACAACACGTTCAATTGGATTTTAGCAGTTAGAGGAAGCTGGAGTTATGAGGACATCAATTTCACTGTAGAGTATAATTGACAAAAAGTTCATCTCTTACATCTCAGGAGTATGTGCATTGCAAACTGCTGTGAAACTGGGCCAAATTGTCCAGTGTGAATATCCACCACACTATCAGTTTAGCTGGATGCTGAACGAGTGGCTGGACTCACTTTTGGTTTAACATCCAGGTGGTTTAGGTAATTTGGCTCAGCTGCTGGCTTGTTACTTTGAGAGCTCAAGTGGAAGAACTGTGATGTTGATACTTCACTAGTCAACAAGGTCATCCAGCAGCAAAAGATCCAGAGCTAAAAAAAAACAAGCTGACTTGTTGGAAGAATCTTTTTCATTTCACCAGGAGGTTTTGGCATAAAGATATCATCGGAATAATTTACAGAATGTTTAAAAAGCAGAGCCCAGATACTCTGGAAAAGGGCTGAATCACAATCATTTATCCAGTGAGAGAAAGACACATACAGTAAATGGCCAGCCTCCAAAGGATGTTCCCCTTCCAACCCTGACATGTCAAAATAAAAGCACACACCAAAGCAAAAGTCAAAACATTTCAAAGTCACATGATACCAGCACAAATAAAAATAGAATGTACATTTTTGAGAAGAAATGTTGCAGGATTTTCCAGACTTCAGTAAATAGTTTGGCTAAAACTAAATAAGAGAAACCATGCTGCAATACATTAAACCAGAGTTATCCTTTAAAAGAGACAACCACACTTGGTCAGACTCAAACAATATCGCTGGTGGGCACCAGGGTGTAATCCATTTCTGTTAACATGTCATCCCACCACCACCACTTTGCCTAAGTTCACTGTTTTCATTGTAATGCAAGCACTGCATTACAATGTTTACTGTCAATCATCTGTCACCCCGCAGAACAACGTGTGCTCCCCCAGTAAATAATCCCTCAATCTCTTGTCACCTCACGTATTTTATTGTCACATCCAGCTCTCTATATTTGGAGCATCCTTGTTAGCGGGGACAGCAGTTAATCTACGCTTGACCTATGCAACATAAACAAGTAGATTAAAAAAATTTAATTACACACCCCATGCACTGCAAAATTATTTGTTAAATGTAAATAGGCTATAAGTCTAAATGTTGACACGATACGCTACAATGTTTTAACCCGGCGGGGCCAAACTAAACATCTGAGAATTTGGCACCTACTAGATAATGGCCTGGTTAGCAGCTGCATCTCACATTAATAAACATCTTTTATCATGTCTAAGCAGTAGACTCAGCAAAATGGAATTGACACCACAGGTCCAACATTTAATTAAAAATATCCTCTTGTATGAGGAAGTCACTGGTACTCTTTAGGACCAGATGTTACTGTATGGTCTGGATCATTATTAGGCGTAAAGCATAATGCTACTATTGCTTGAATAAATATTGTCAGTGTGAGTTGTTCAGGGGGAAAATGTAAATGGCAAACCTGGAGATAGAATAAATTACCTGTGGTTCCCTCTGCAGCTAGATCACCTTTCCGAGACCCTCTGAGCGAGGCATGCATGGATTAATCTATAAATCACCAGGCCTGCGCATCAGGAGCACAATTGTGCCCTCGCTCCATATGAAATAAGGGCCTTTTCTCTCTCTGCTGGCAATTTACTGTGTATTCATGACTTCCTGAAGCACTTAGTCTCAGCAAAATTAAATCAGCACCAATTAGATGAAGGTGGAGTTTTCCAATGTTACAGACTTTCTCTTGACCACCAGTGTATTTGCTGATTTGTACCATAAGAGAATGTTCACTAAGTCGCTTCACACTTGTTAGTACCCGTCTCTGTAAGCACTCCAAAATCACTCTGCCGGCTACTCGACCTTTCCTCGGTACTATCCACTGCACCCAATAATCTATGTCTTCTGTCTTCTTACCACAGTGTGTTTGCTGTATATCCCCTGGAGGCTGCAGCCCTATCGAAAAGTCTAACAATTAGTGAAACAAAGTAACAGTTAGTGGCGTCCACTGTGGACCTCCCTCGGCTCGCTCCCAGACAAAATCAGGAAAACCCTCATTAAAAGTATAATGTTGCCATGAAATAAGTGACCTGAGCCCTGTTGTTTAGTTTGTTTTTGTTTACATTTTGACAAAAAAGCTGCCACTATAAGTCAGCCGCATTGCCTTTTACCAGTTTACTTTTAGTAGTTTAAGTATATTTTGATGCTAATACTATTGCACTTTTACTTAAATAACATTTTGAATGCAGGACTTTTACTTGTAACGGAGTATTTTTGTTACTTTTACTTATGTAAAGGACCTGAGTGCCTCTTCCACCACTGCAGAAAACAAAACACTCTTGCCTCCTACTGTAGGTACACTTGTGTACTGTTTTTCAAGGTATTTGGCAGGTAGGCTTGGAGAATTTGCCACAGTTCTGTGGATTTAGGCTGTCTGTTAGGGTGTCTTCTGTCTCTGCATGTAACCTCAGACTGACCCCAGGATGTTGAGAACACAGCTCTGTGGGGGCCACCCCATCTATAAGAGCATAAGCTCACTCTTCAAGTCTATGAAGATAGTTTGTTGTGATTCTGGCTGTATGTTAGGGGGCATTGTCATATGCTGCAGAATGAATTTAGGACCAATCAGACACCTCTCTGATGGTAGTGATGATGGACAAGAATCATAAGTACCTAAACCTTTTTGCACAATGTTGCACATTTCTTTCTTGGTGCTGAAATAACAATTACTAATGTTTTAATCATTTACCAAGTGTATCAAAAATATAATTCCCAAATAAATTTTAAATATGTATAGCAATATAGTGAATTTACACTGGGTTCTACTTAAAACCCAGTGCATCTGAGTCAGTTTTACTGTCTTAAAATTTGATTTGATTAGATCTGAGGGCCAATCTATATTTTTTATTGTGAACCTTGAACTCTTTCCAGCACTAATGTGATTTTGTGATGATGGATGTCTGTGGAATAGCCTAACAAAGGTCCACAGCAGCACACAGTGATATGGCACACTACACATCCCAACTCTAACCTTGAATAAAGGGCTCCGTGCATGGCTCTCCATTATTAGATTTTTCCAGCTGGTCTTATCAGAACTATCAGCCTCCATTGCACAACACTAACTTCACTGGGGTTGACAACTTAATATTCATACATACATACATAGATAAGCAGGTATTGTGTTACCTTCATGAACTGTACAGCTTGTGCAGAATGGATTAATCACTGAGCCATAATTCACAGGGGAGCAGACTGTTTGAGCTGTCACAAACAGATAAGCGTAAATGAAAGCTGAGTATGCATTGTAGTAGAAGGTCCTGCTGTTAGATGTGAAAACAGTTGATTGTTCTTTGTGTTTATGGCTTGATTTCGGAGCTAAAGTGTCTTCATTATCATCTGAGTTGCTAAAAAAAAAGCCAGCAACTGTAGGTTAAAACTCTGATAATGTCACTGTCCTCATCATTATTCAGTTTATTTTAATTTGCTCTAGTTATAAAGTTTGCAGGCTGCTTAAATACCAGGGAAAGGTCACATAGTGGTAATGGAGTATGACAGCAATGTACCATAAAAGAATTGTGCTATTGTGGACTGTTAGCTTAGAGACTTTAAATGCACTCAGCCAGCTACTGCTGTGACTAGGGAGAAACGTGAGACACAGATGCAAAAGGAGGGTTTACCAGTTGTTTACGGGACCATAAATTTGAGTTAGTAGGGCCCTTCTTACTCTGCTTCTTGACTGTGGGTTTGAAATGGGAAAACAAACAGCTGTCTGCCATATTTCAAAGGCCTGTGATTTGGCATCCCTGCCCTCATTCTTCTGCAAACGTCACCAGTGTCATCTGACTTTGGCATGACCTACTCAATTTGCCCCTTCTGCCACATAATCATGGGAATGACAAAAACTAATAAACAGCCACTGAATGGTGTGGTAACACTGGAACAGGTCGAAAATCTTGTTTTTGCTGAACCCCAGAGTTGTGACTTCTCACTTTGCTGCAATGATATAACCTACAGGTGAACCCCAAGACTGGGAACAGATGCAAGAAGGAAAGCCTCTGACCGCAGTCGGCATTATTGATGCGTGGTGTTTGGTGTATGCGAAACAGACTTGAAACTTTCAACAGAGAAGACTGATTGTTAACTTACCTTTTAATTCTCAACTCAACTCAACTCAACTTTATTTATATAGCGCTTTACCACAGCACAGCTGACCAAAGCACTTAACATATCATTCAAATATAAAAACAACACATAAAAAGCTATAAACAATAATATAGACGCTAACACTACAGACAGAGTCTCATTCCTGGCCAAACGCCAATGAATACAAGTATGTCTTCAAATGAGACTTAAAAGTAGACAGGGAGGGGGCCTGCCTAATATAAAGCAGCAACGCATTCCACAGTTTTGGACCTACCACAGCAAAGGCTATATGCCCCCTAGTTTTCCGCCTGGCCCTCGGTGCCTCCAGAAGAGGCTGATCTGAGGCACCGTGACGGATTATATGGACGCAAAAGTTCCACCAGATAAGACGGTGCCAGGCCATTTAAGGATTTATAAACAAATAAAAGAATCTTAAAACGAACCCTGTAACGCACCGGAAGCCAGTGGAGAGATGCCAGTACTGGCGTTATGTGGTCCTTCTTACGCCCCCCAATTGTGCATGTGTGTGTGTGTGTGTATTTCCCTGATTGACAAAATTGTTTATTTCTTCGACTTTTGACTGTTTTAGCATTGAATTTGCAGGTTCATATGGAGTTGTTAGCAGAAACGGCATAATTTTTAGGGAGCACAAGACAAAAATCATTGTTTTAACAAACACCCTTTTTTTCAAACCGCCAACTAATACATCATATAATGCCAAAAAAGGTGGGTAAAACAAACATATTCCTGTCAGCACTTTTTATCAAGACACTTTTTGAACAAAAAGTATTTGCAACAAAAACTATTTCTGTGCATTAGAGAATAACTGGGACATTGTTTCTGGAAAATGTTGCTGTGGAATCATTTTTAAATGTATTATTTCTTTGCTGTGAGCACCACAACAAAATTCCATATCCCTCCATCCTATTGGAGTGGAGGCAGAAATCTCAGAGATGCTATTTTAAAACTAAAACTATTTGTATGGATAGATATGAAATACTCCTGAATGCAGATTCAGAGTTTGCCAGTTGATATCAGTATGCTACAGAGGAAGCCAAACCAATAGTTAAGGACTGAGAGGCGACCCACAACACCTTGTATTCAGCAGAACAGGATGCCCTTATGAGGGACTGCAGCAAACAGCAGCAACCCAGTTTGCTCACCATCCATCACCGCAGCACAGCAATTTACCCAAATAGCAGAGTGGTGTCAAAAACACTGGCAAGGCACAAAGAAGAAAAGAAAATGTCCCCACACTGTAACTGTGGGGGCTGCGGTTGAACAGATAAACAACTTTTCAAAGCAAGATTATGGTGCTGCGCATGTCAAGGCCAGGATGCATGGGCCTAGTCTCTAAATGTGGCATAACAAACAGTGGATGGGAGCTAAGCCGACGTTCACAGGAAACATGCAGTAGCTGCCCAAACAGGCTTGTTAAGGGGCAGAGAGTGAACTCATCAGCGCACAAGATCACAGCTGACAGACAAGCTTGTTAACTGCAGTAGAGCAGCCAAGAGGGTGGCTCATTAGGGAGAAGTACCAGTAGCCTGCACGGGCCATGCTGGTCTCACCAGATGGTGGCCTGTCTGCTGTCTGATGAAGGATATGAGCATCCATCATTGATAAATTATGTGCTGTATGGTTCCTGTGCATGGAATCATACAGAAAGCATTTATTCTAGTCATGGTTTGACTTTGTCACAGTTTGATATGTAAAACTTTATATCATAGGGTGCCAGAGCTCAGTCACTCGAGTGAAGGAGCTCCATTTTCAATTCATCATGAGATATAACAAAGTTTGTCTGTGACACTGAAACAAGAATCCTGTTGCAACATTGCCCCCTACTGGCGCTACTGCCTGAAAATGGAAATCCAAATCGATGAAGAGAAGATGCAACCAAAACATACTTTAAATGTTCCCATTAATCCCCCTTCAGTGGCCTCTTCACATGTTGCCATCCATAGCTGTAAATACATTGTTTGCAGTCACCCTGTCTGGCTAAGTACAGCGCTCTTCAACTTGATTATTGCACAAGTCTCCAATAAGGACCAGTAAATCATAATTCATCATTCACTTGGGGAGAAACATGCTGTTACAGCCAAAGCATAAGTGGGACTTGTTCATTTAGATATTCTTTTCAAGGACACTTCAACAAAACCTCAGATGATTTATTTTCTATCTTTGAGTGTTGACTAAGTGTGAATGTACAGTATTTATAGCTGGCGTGATTGGAAGACACTGAATATTTAATTAATAATCACTGAATTTTGTATTGAAAAAAAATCACAGCCATCAGAATAGATGCAATCAAGACTGATTTGGTCAGAATAGATTAATTAGTTATTGATGGGACACAAACTACTTTTCTTCAGAAGTGTTTTAATCACCGCTGGTACAACACGGTAGCTGTAAGGAGTGCATCAAACTGTCTTTACCTTAAGGGTCATTTCACAAAGACAGATTTATTACATATCTTATATCAAAACATTGTAAGCTGCACCAATTCATTTGGCTTCTGGTTCAAAGAAAAAGCTTCAAGACAGCAAGTCTAAAGTTGTCCTCCAGTGCTGTCATTTCTGGCTAATTAAAACTTACATTAACAAATTTGAATAAATTGCCCGTTTAAAAAAAAAACTAAACTAAATTTCTGAATGAGACAGCTTGAGCAGCACAGCAGTTAAATGAATAAGTTGTTCCGTAAACTTTCAGAAGCTACAATTGAAAGGTCACATTAAATAGTAGGAAAGACAATCGCATCACCATCTGCACTGGCTGGTGCAGCCTCACATTGGAGACCAATAAAATGTAGGCACCACCAGAATGTATTCACATCAGTCTCATGATTAATCACAAATCAGAAAGTTTTAACTAAAATTCCAGATATACTTGTATTCAGTTTTGTGTTCGACAAGATGAAGTTCATTTCAGTACTTCATGCTTTAAAGGTCACAACAATCTGAGGAGTTGCAAGCTAATGAACGGGGCAGAAATAGAAAAACCAATGTTCCGATACACCAATGTTTTAATTTTGGAGGCTTTGGGGGAACATTGGATAATTTACCTCACTGGGCCTGAAACATGACATCAGTATTAACTAGAACTTGAAGAAAAAGTGCCTGTGATCATTTTGAAGCATCTTTGGTACATGCTGTGAAAAACAAAACTGCACAAGCAACAGGCACGTGTACATATGGCTTTATTTATGTATTTCACAAACAATCCAAGAACTTATGAGACAAATGTGCAGGAATTGTTTTTGCCATTTTATTTTTTTCCTTCACATTATTGCTTTACAGTAAAATGCATTGTTGGATATGTCCAGTATAGCAAGACAATACATTCATATAAGTTATACAGATGTCCTCAGCAATTTTCTAGTAACTAACTTAACATTAAATATTTTTAATTCTTAACTCCATCACGTTGAGCTCACAGTGCATCAGGTCACATTCAATCAATAAGCAAACATCAGATCTCTCGTGTTCATTTCCAACATGTTCTAAACTGTGCGCGTTTATTTTTTTAAAATACAATTTCAATACAATCTGGATTTATGCAGAGCTACAACAAGTATGGCATCTGAATTCTATTTTCCCCCTCCCTGTCCTTCCCCCAAAAGTGACCATTGGTAAGAACATACAGTACACCATTTAAGATTGGGACAAAAAGAGGAGCCGTGTTTTTGCCCCTGTTGCGGTTTTATCAATCAAACCTGGCAACCAGGACATGACCACATAGAGCAACAACAAAAATACAGAAGAAAAAAAAACCTTAACACTGCACATTCTGAATCAACTCAAGTACAGTACAAAAGTGCCTTCCCCACAAAAATAAGAAAATAGGTCATGTATGTACAGAAGACCCACTGAAAAGGTTCAGGTGAAGGAAGGGAGATATACATGGATGTCAGTGGGCATGTAGGAGTCTGTAGGCCCTGTGTGGTCACCTCCATCCCGTAAACCCCAATAGAGCAGCAGCTTAAGCGGGTCGAGCTTTAAGGAATTAAAGCCTGCTCCCACCAGGTTCTTAAAAAGTGACAAAGTCTCAAGGGCACTGGAGGAAAGTTGTCCACCTGTTCACGCATTCCCTGTTGCTGCTCTACTCCTTCAGCCAGGGTTGTTGAGTTAATGCCCTTGAGTGTGTAAGAGGGGAAATCAGATTTCCCACAAAGCCGCTGTTCCAGAAACATCCATCCCTTTGGTTCAGTTCCTCAGCCGTCATAAACGCACACCTGTGAGCTCACAACACCAAGTACTACTAGAGACACCGTCAACATCTCCACAGGATCCCCCATCTTTATATGGTAACCTTGCAGGGGTCTTCTATCACAAATTCTTTACATTGAATTTGCATATACAAGCCAACAATATGGCAGAGGAATATTGTCAACACAAGCAGTGCCCACACGCTTCAGGTTTTAGTCTCTGCACCACACTCGTGGACTCCTCACAGGCGTTTTTGCATGACGTTGAAATGTCTGGTTTGCAGTGTAGCTCGTAGCTGCCAATTTTTGTAAAAGTGGGTCGGGCAGTTTCCATGGAGATGCCCAGAAGCCCTCAGCCTTGCGCTCTGCTGAGGAGGAGCTGTGTTTAATGTCCCAGCATGCACTGCAGACAGAGGCAGGTGTGCTCACGGTGTTAACAAGGTTCCAGTCCAGAGTCGAGAGCCCAGTGTGAAAAATGTAGCCTGAGCACATGCACACGTTATCTTGCACACACACAGTCTCTTATACACTGTATACACCCATACAGAAGGAAGCACTAGTTGATTCAGAATGAGAGGACAGCTGTTAAAGTGCAGTATCTACATGTAACTCAGAGTCATGAGACTGTCACAATTGCCACCTTTTGAGTTGTCCATTTTCCCTGATAGACAGCTGTGGTTGGAACCCCTGCCCTACAGCACACCCTACTGATAATAAGTTGTTACAGCAGACAGTGTTGAGATGATGAGAACAAGCCACCTGATGTTGACAAAAATCAGATGCATCCCATAGATCTGGAGCCAGTTCCCCCCCCCCTCAGAAATTGTGCAGAGGGGAAACCGAAGCAACCTATTACTGAATGAAAATATCACTGGAGCAGAGTTGCCACCATCAGCCAGAACACCCCCCCTCTGAGTTTAATTCTCACAGCACAAAGCAGGAAAAGCATTTCTATGTGCAATTTGTTTCAGTGAAAAACAGGCAATGTCCTGTTTGCAACAAGCTCTCTTCCATTTTAGACAAGACCTTGTTTAAAAAAATTTTAAAAAGTGTTTACAAGTTTACATTGTGCAGTGCTGCATATTCATAACACCCCCACAGCCAACCAATCTGGACTGCAATATGACAAAATCTCTAAGAAACCACAGCCCATTTGTTTAAGCTGATGAGGGTTAAGAAGAGTTGCACAGGGTGAGGGATGTGAAGCACTAACAGTATTTGCTCCCTGATGCCAAAAACCATGCCAGGGGAGTCTGGCCAAGGTTGGAAGAGGGGAGCTGCCAAGGACAAGGCCCTCCTTCAGGGGGTCAAGAGGTAAAGGGAATCATACTTTTTTCCCTTGGGTGCTGGGGAAACTTAGTAAATCTTTTAGGAATGACTTCAAGGAGACATGGAGATTTTGATTTGAAACAGGGTTTGTGGTAAGATTTTTTTTTTTCCCATTCAGACTGGTTTGGTTTGTGGAAAAGCTTTGAAAATACTGCATGGAAATCTACAATGTGACATTACACACCAACAACCAACAGGGGCACTTATGATTTTGGAGGTCCCCGATATCTAAAGGCATGCTAGATGGGTAGAAAGTTAAACAGGTGCACAGAGAAACCAAAGACTTTACTGCAGCAGTGTGCAGTGTCTGAAATAATGGGCATAAAGGAACGGCACCGTGTGACAAGAGGACAAATTATAGACACAGAGCTGAACTGGGGTGCAGATAGGTCCAGTATTACTGAAAAAAAAGTTGGATGAGTGCTGAGGTTTTGGTAACCGAGGCACGCTGCTGTGCTCTAATCCTCCATGCACATGGGCAGGTTGACAAAGGTGAAGACGTTGTACTCGATCATGATGGAGAAGCAGAGGAAAACGGCATACAGTACCAGAACATAGATGCCCAGCTTCACATCCAGCCTCCACTTATTCAGGTGGATCCCCAGAACCTGCACACAGACAAAACATCCGAATGGCTTGAGTAGGAACTAGTCCTTATGTGAAGTGCATTAACTGTGTAAACAATAGTGATCAATGGCCATCACCAACAGCATGGGGAGCTGTAGTCTGCCAGCGGAAGCCTCTGCAGAGTTAATGGTTCCTTATATAATTAACATTAGCAACATATAAAGAAAATACCAGTAATGTAGTGCGCAACTGTTGTGAGGTTGTTGGCTAATTGCTAACAGTTAGCCAGCTTTTAGTGTTAACGTTAAAAAACACTGAAGGTATAGTATGTTCTTCTTGGGGGAGCTCCCCAGTGGGGTAGGTCCTAGAACTGTCCAAAATCACCTAAATTGTACCAGAACAACAACAACAACAAAAAAAATTAAGAAAATTTAACACTGCATCCAAAGATTTCTCCCACAGCTAACCATCTTAACATGCAAATCTAATCTTCAAATGCATCATTTCCTGTGCAAAAACACATTTTTCTTTTAGGAAAAAGCAGAACAACATTCAGGAAGTTGTGCTGCATTCAACAACAGATTGAAATGAAAGACCTTTGTAGAGAAAAGGAACCAGAAGGACTGTTTTTTTCTCCCACTTCTAGTCACAAAATCAGACAAGATTTTTCACAGGGAAGACAAAGTGCATCAGTCGGTGATCAGAGCGGTCAGACAGGGTTATTTAGATAAAAATAAGTAAATTGTTAGTTTAAACACATAAGATGCACTACAGCAGTAATGCAGGTTGTCTTCCTGGAAAGTGGTCGAAATGTGGCACCCGTGTAAACATCATCAACCATTTCTCACCGTTAGGGCCACAGAGCCCAGAAGAAGCACCACTGAGTACAACAGCCCCCGACTGTTGATCATTACCTGCGACAGACAAGACAAAGATCAGAAATATATCACCAGCAGATATTTTCTCATTATTCAGTGGATTTTGGCTGTCACTCCTTAACACACAAACAGAAATAAGGTCCAGGCTGTTCAAAAGCAAACTAGCTCCTTACCTCTGACCCATAGTTGACACACATGGTCTGTAATGCCCAGGGAACGCCCAGACCCACTAGAATATCAAACACGTTACTGCCAATTGTGTTAGACACTGCCATGTCTCCCAGACCTGGAACAAGACAAAGACCAAATGAAGTGAGATATGAAGTTTAATGCTCGACATTTAGGTCAAATAAACCTCTTCGTTTCTAACTGAGGATTAACATTTTAGGCAGGTTATCCCATTCTTAGAGTTAGAGCCAACACACACGACCAGTTTGGACTGTCACAGCAAAGATTAACTAATTTCTGAAGACGTGACTGTAGATTGATGCACACAATTTGATTAATTTAAAAATCGACAGCACAGTAAGTGGTGCAAAGCGTGAAGCCACCTTTTATTTGTTGTGATTGTTCATTTTAATGGCTCACCCAACTATCCATCAAGGATTGTAATGCATTCTGTTTTAAGTAATACTACATAATCTATGACTTTCTAAAACAGGGACCAGTAGGATTAACTGCATTATCTATATCTGCCTCTTTACTGCATAATAAAAACTAAAAATGTTTCAGAGGGAAAGGCGTACCTTGCCGAGCCACAATAAGACTGGCTATGCAGTCTGGGACACTTGTGCCTGCTGCCAGGAAAGTGATGCCCATGATGACATCTGGGATTCCCAGGGTATAACCAATTATAGTGACCTGAGAGAAACATACAGTGTCAGACCTCAAAAATAGCGTTCTGTTTGTCTGAAAGCGATAACTCGTACAGTCTGGGTATCTGCAGTATAAACCTGTACGATAAACTGACAATACTGTTAGAAATTCACTATCACATCTTCCAAGGGCTCACGATGTCTTCAAACTGCTCAATCATCCAAAACAATTCAATTAACAAAGATATAAAACAAAGAAAAGCAGCAACTTAACTTTTTAAATTAAATTATCAATTTTAAAAAAAGTGTTAATTTTATGTTGAGCCACTGATTTGTTCCATCATTTCAGCACAACAAGCCTCAGATGTCCTGGTAAATGCCTAGTTTCTGAAAATCTAACTTCTTGCTCTCCATGCATAATTATGAAACTCACCATCCAGACCATCAGGTAGGAAAAGACTGCAATCCAGACAGTCGAAAGGATGAAGGACAACATGAAGTATTTCTCCCAGCGGGGCTTGGCACAGTTTGGGACAGTTAAGTACAGCAACAGGAGCAGAGGCCATGAGATTAGCCACTTCACTTTGCTGCCAAAATTCCCTGCAGCAGAAATACACAAGAGATTTCTGTTATAGTAAAGATTTTTCTCACCCAGATCAAACACTACACAGTATTTTTTTTTTTTTTTTTTGGCTTTTCATTCAAACAACTTCATTACTATGGTTGACTTAAAAACAGGGCGCTGTGCCAGATTAAAGTGCCAACAACAAATACATTTTATTTTTGCTCGCTTATAAATCGCCTTATCTATGCTTTACCTTGATCCTCAAATTTGTTGAGGCAAACGGCTAAGGCTGAAATAATAAAGCTGTTTTTCCTGTCATATCTATGGTTTTGTTGAAATGAGGAAAATTAAATAGAGTTTAATAGATATTTTCACTTCAGGTCAGGCAGACGATACCTCTGCTTACGTCAAAGCCAGGGATCCATTTCCTTTCATCACTTTTTGGTTTAGTGAAAAGGACAAGCATGTCCCCTCCATCTGTCTCATAGCACACAAACACCAATGACTTTTTGAAAATACCTTTTAGCCTAATGTAATGCAACAATGCATTGAAGAATCTGTCTGATTTATGCTAACCCTTTAAATAGCTGCCGACTTGATGAGCAGCCCCACTCAGAGCTGTCAAACAAGTTAGACTGTATGACGAATCTGAACAAAGACCTCAATAACTACCCAAGGGGAAAGAGATTAAGCAGATCAAGCAGCTCTGTCCAACTACAAAGTCCTTTTAAATGTTAACACCACCTCAAGTTCTTAAAATAAGGAACATGGGAGGACATAAGATACAGTATATAAATAAGACATGTCAAGGATGTGACAATTTTAAAATTATATCTTTTTAATTGGCTCCAGCTCCCCCCACAATCCTGTTCAGGATAAGCAGCATAGATAATGGATGAATATCTCTTTAGTATCCATTCATATTTGCCAAATTACACACTTGTCACATACTTGGAAGATGAAACGGTGAGATGGTGTCGTTTTCCTCTGCCTCAGTGGGTTTGTCCTCCGGCACGCTTCCGTTCTCGATTTCAATCTTACCGTCAATCACTTGTGTCTCCACGCCATTGGCAGCTTGGACCAACTTCTGGCGCTTTCAAACAAAAAGAAACTAAGTCAAAGAGCACATGAGTAACTTGCTGCTTTCACGGCTGCACTATTTTTAATGCATTGTCATGCATGCAGTCAAGAGGAAGAACAAATGCATGCATGAGCAAGTTAAGGAGGCTCTTTGGGACGGAAACTAAATTCAGAAACAAAGCTGAAAATAGTACAGCGTGCACTCCAAATAAACTTAACATATAGCAGCAGCAGCTTCTACTTGGAGCAACACCACCCAGCTGTACCTCTGTAATGATGAGGCGACTGGCCATGCGCAGACGTGTCTTGGGTCCAAAATGGCTGGTGACCATCACACGGAGACCGGCTTCTGGAAACCTGAACTTTGAAGGACTGGAGTTCATGAGCTCATCCCCCATCCCCACCGAGCCACGACTGTTGTTGGGTTTGACTGAGAAGTGGAGGGATATGTTAAAGATTTTTTAAAAATATACATTTAAATCAACAGACTGTAGCGTAGCAGAACAGACAAAAATAGAACTGTACTTTTATCCCAAAAGCTTTATCATGCTGTTTTGGAAAACTTCATTATTTGATTACACACCATTGTAGCATCCTGAAGTGTACATTTAAAAATTTCAAGGCCAAATACAGATGTTTCAAACAAAGTAATCATCAAGAGCAAAGTACTGGGTTTGTAGTATAATTTTTATAGTCCGTAGCTCTACGGGGTCCTGAGCTAAGTTAGGAATAATACTGGATGCTGAACCAGAGCTATTTTGTTACCATGTTAAAGTTAAGGCTGCACCAGGCAGGTTTTTTTTTTTTGTGTCAAACTATACTGTATCCCTTTTACACTAAATCACAATGTGGCCCAGGTGTCAACACAAATCAAACTTATGAGGTGTCTGCGTACGTCTTCTCTAAACAAGTTAAGGTGCTGGGGGCAGTGGGAGGGGTGTCACTCCTATCACTCTGCTCCATCACCTTTCTTCTGCAGCTTAGAAATTGATGTTGGCACCTTCATGTTTGTCGTCTCAACAGAAACCAGGGAAGTGATTCTTGGAAGTACTGTTTGATAGAGGACACCCAAGTGTTGTCTAAGAAACAAATTGTGAGGGCTCATCATATGTAGGCTTGGACCATTTTAATTCCACTCTCTTAAAATGTGTGTTGGGCCAGATAGGAACATGTACAGTAATATGTCATCACTGTCCAGGAAGATCCATGTCACAAACTTTTCATGAATGAGTATGTTGTGACAATCCAATTGCAGATAATCCATTTGGTTGTTAGATGGAATTTTTCTAACCCATCTAAAGCACTGCAAAGGATACATTATTTTAACAGGACAGTGGAAAATCTTTCACCTGTGAACACTATGTAAACCTCCATAATTATGATATAGCATGGGTACATATGTAACTATGAATGGGATTCACAGATCTGCAGAAAACCCATGGCTTCTTTTGGGCTCTTTCACCATCCTCAATAGAAACAGTCACACATTAGCTGGATGGGTCAACATGAGGGTGCTGTGCATAGATTCCATGAAGTCTGGGTGCTGAACTTCAAATTGCCTGGTGCTGCTTTGAAGTTTGTCTAACAGTCGTGAATATTTATGGGCCGACCGAGATTGATTTCAAAATCTGTGACATGGACAATTTTGTCTCTGGCAGCTTTCAGCTGGCTGACATTCAAACAGGGTCACATCTTAAAATATTTTACTGGCATCCCATGATTCCTCATTTCCACTAACTATAAGGTGCAAGGTACTGTATGTGGGATAAACAGTTCTACAGTACAGGTATTAGTTTAAAACCCAGTCTTAATTTGACTTATGCATGCAAAAAAAATGCACATAAAATAGTGTAAAGAGAGCTGGTATAAAACACTTCCCGCTTGTGAAATTCATTACCACTTCAGGAGCGAGGGGGTCTACGACCCTGAGACCAGCAGGAGAAAAGTACTATGCAAGCAGCAAGAGCTGGCACACAGCAGCACAACACTGTTGACAATAAGCAAGAATAAGTTTAGTAAGGCTAAACAGACAGGCACGTTAATGCAGCCAAAGTGGGAAGGGTTAAACCTCCGAGGAGTTAAATGTCACTGATTAGAAGCTGCTGAAAAGATAAATAAAAGCAGGAAAGGAAGAAGTGGAGAACCATGGTTACAAGGATAACTCACCCAAAGTGTGAAAGATATTATCAAAAAAAGGTTCCCGAAGTTTTTAATATGTTTAAGACCCCAGACAACAAAGCCCCTTGACATTAAACTGAAGGAAGATAAAAGAGTAGGACTGCTATTCCCATTTAAAAATGGGAGAATTTCCTTTTGTGGCCACTGTATGCTCAGATAAGCTCTAGTTATCACCCAGAAAAGGATCAAATTAATGGAGGAGCATACAGAGCTTTTAAAAAGGAGGGAAAAAAAACACAAAGGGAAGTTTAACAGTTCACTGAGATCAGAGAACTGAAATTTGGTTTGGAAAGATAAGCAGTCTACTTCTGCAGAAATCCTTTAACTGAACAATTTGACATTTTGGGAAAAGCTTTTTTTTTACCGTCTTGCTGAGAGTTTAGAAAGATCGATACCAAGGTCATTTGTACTTACAGAGGTGAAAGTACTTAAGTTCAGTTTTGAGGTATCTGTACTTTGAGAATTCATTTTCTGCTACTTCATATGTATTTGATCATTTTAGCCACTTTTCAGAATCAAATAAACCAAATACAGTATTACCAAAAAAAAACATTGTTGATCCTCAGAGGGAAATTTACAAGCTGCCCAGCAGTAACTCAAATTATGAGTAGGCTAGTGAAAATTAGCACCAAAGCTGCAGCCTTAAACATGTACACAATGTATCAGTAAAAATAAACTATGAAATGCATTAATGTGAACTGTGCTACTGTGCATTATGAGTGCCTTAGCATTTTGTACACAAGTTGTTTTGTTTTTTTTTTTATTAATACTTTTGCAATTTTACTTAACATTTTGAACTAGGACTTTCATGTAATCAGAATTTTTACACTGTGATAAGGTTACTTTTACTTAATAATCCGAGTACTTGGTCCACCACTGGTATGTTTGCTTGCCTGGCTCTGATCTTGATTATTAAATTTGTTCAAAAACCAACTTGTGGTTTTGCAAGCGTTATGTGCCGGACCATTTCTTTGCCTGGCTTCATTACCTTGGGACAGAGCCAGGCTACTACCCATTTCTAGCCTATACCATATGCTAAACTAAGCTAATCCTCTATTGGCTGCACACAGAGAGTGGGATCCAGCTTCTCATCTGTCAGTAACAAATAGCATTTCCCCAAATGTCAAACTATTATTTTAAGTAAATTTCAGCAGAATTCAGTTGAAGAATTCAGGTAAGTGCAGCAAAAAGGAGTAAAGTTTAAAGCCACAGACCCTTTAATAGAAGGAAACGCCCACAGTCTTCCGGGGGAAAATCAATCTTGAGCAAAACAATCATGGCTATTTCTTTTCCCCACAGTCCAGGATTTCTTATTTCAGCATGCAAGATCCAATTCATTTCCGGGCAGGGAGTAATCTTGAGCACCCAGCCTGTCTGATTAACCTTACCTGCAGAGAGTAAAGGCGATGACGGGTCGTCATCCCAAACATAGTCATAACTAGTATTACCGTCCTCCATCTCACTGCTGGCTGCAGCGTTACCATTGGCCATGTTCTTATTGGACCTCCCCATGAAAAATTTCTGCATGCTGGAGTTGAATCTGATAAACAGAAGGAAAATAATCCCTAAATTAGAAAAGCTGAAACAGTCGAGCCCAGAGACCAAAGAGAGGGGAAAAAAAACCCAAAAGCATTTGGTCTCAGAACTCGATTTGTTGTAGAATAGAGATTATTTTGTACAGACTGAAAAGTTTATAGCCTTTTATTGATTTTGGGCTTAAAACGATTGAGTTAAAATATAAATCAGTAAATACAAAAGTTGGATATAGGATTCAAAGAGTGCAACAACAAATATTTTCATACTTTTCCTTCACTCGTCAGTCAGGTAAAACACTGGTAGCTAAATAAACAAAAGGCTGTAAAAGATGACGGGCCAAAAGTACAACAGATTACACCAATAACACGTAAAGTATTAAAACTAACATTTCATACACATCCACCATGAGTTAAGTTAAACACAGGCAGCTAAAAGGCTGCAAAGATGATAAGAACAAGTACAAGATGAAGACAAGAGACGTGGACTTAAACATGAACAATGTTGAAGACAGAAACATGCTGTGTTTTGAATAACATTTTGTACATTAATCATGTCTAATCTGATTTGACATGCAAAGACACAAGAGCCATCTTTGCAATTGATTTTGTCACTACATTTTTCCCCAAACGGCAGCATGTGTGCTATTTGAGGAATATATCACAGCCGAGCCCAGTAAGGTCACCTAAGGTCGCACTATATAAAACCCACTCTACTCCATTTTGCCTGGAAACGCCCAAAATGGTCAGCAGATATTTTGGGAAAGGGGAGACAAATGACAACATATCCTACAGTAAGCACTTCTTTCCTCCAAATGAGAAAGCAGAGGAGTGATCCAGCTAAGCCTGTGCTCTTAGCCACTGCTGGGGTAGAAAGATTAAACTCTTATGGCAAGGAGAGAGCAGGCTGCTGCTGAGTGCAACACAGATTACCAGCTGGACAGACAGCGGTACGGGACGACAAGGTTGGCATTATAGAATCTGGACTACAAAGACAAAAATATGGTGTAATAGAGTCATCTGCATTTGCTCAAACAAGATGATGTTGACAGATACAAGAGACAGAAGGAGGAGTTCTCATGGAGACTGTAACCTGACAATACATAGGTCATCCAGTTAACCATAATTAGAGTTAATTATCTCAAAAGCACTGAAACGGCCCACCTGGAAAATGTCATGTACCTTTTAAAAATTTACATATAGTGTGGAAATTTAAATATTTAGTACAATTGTCAAAGACAAGGCAACATGCTGTAATATAACTGTTCTAACTGGATAACATGCCTCATAAAATTTGCATTCTGTTGTAAAGTAAGTTCAGCACCACAAGGCTTCCCCTCCAACTGGAAACCCCCTCATGAAAACTAGTTATACTTGGCAACGCACAGGTATCAGTATACAATAGTGTGGCATCTTTTTTGATGGAGACGCTCAGCTTGTTGTGGTGATGTGCACTTCAACAAGAACCATTTAACGAACATGCAGAACTCACTTCATGATGAGGATGTATCCAGCATACATCACCACCAGCACCAAACTCTCCCACCTAAGACAGAGGATGAGGCGTGAAATCAAAAACAGGTTCAAAATGGATTCCACAACTTTTTTTTTTTTTGCACGCTGTGTTACAGATGTAATTACAATTACCATTTCTAACCAAACTCAGTAACCGGTTAACGAGAGAGAGTGAAAACATGTTTAGAAAATTGGAAACTGAAATGTATCATTTCCAACAGTATTCAGACCCTTAATTCTGTACTTTGTAGAAACCCCAAGTACAGCTTCAAAACTTCTTGGGCAAGTCTATATGTGGATTTGAGCAGCTGATCCTATTCTACGTGACAGAGCCTCTAAGCTCTCAAACTGGCTTCTGTATATTCCCTCTATTCATAAAGGCCTGATTGATGGAGAGCTGCTGAGATGGCAGGCTCTAATTCTGCAGAGGACTTCTGAAGCCAAAGTACTCTGTGGGCACACCTCGCTTCAGAATGAAGAGACTGTGTTTTTTTCCCCCAAACGATAAGGAAATTCTTCCTGATGAGTGCTCAGGTTGGGGTTTCACGTGTGAACTCTCCAGTAGCACAAATACTTTCTTGCCCAGTTTCTCAGTTTGACTGGAAAGCCAAAAAGTCCTGGGGGTTGAAAACATCCTCCTTTGATTTGACATTTATTGAGGCCACTCTGCTCCTGGTATCACCCAGTAGTTTAGAAAGGGTTTTGTTCCATTGTCTAGATCTGCGTCTCACTACTGTCACCATGAATTATAGTAAACACTCTCCATTTAAAATTAAATTACAAACAGAAAAGGGTTCAAATATTCAAGTTACTGTATATCAATATTTTCAGGTCTTCTGCTACAACCATTATTTAATTAATTACCAAGAGACAACTAGCAGTTGAAGTTTGGGAGTAGCAACTCAGCCTGGCATTAAACAAACCAGGAAATTCACAAATTGCTCTCAGACCTTATTGAACTAAATTGAATTTTCATGAACTAAAAACTGGAATTTATTTATTTTTATTTATTTCTTTGAAAAGTCACTGTTTAATATACAGTACAGTAAGGACACATTTAAAGAGAAACTTACCAAACTATCTTCTCATCATAGATGAACTGAAAAATGAAGGGAAGCACTTATTTTAGACTAGAACAAACAAGACTCAAAGAGGAAAGTCACAGCTGGTGTTCAATGCATGTGGTGAACTTGTTCAACTTACTGCAATCAAAGCCACAACAGACAGGATGTAGTAGAAAGAATCCCTGAAAACAGCCCACCAGGTCAGCACCACCACCTGTGAATTCACAGGTAAAAGTCACTTAGAAATTTGTGTAGAATTGTTTAATACATACCAAAAGCACTTAATGCTTCATGTAAATGGCTTGACTGTAAGCGAAGTTTCTAGCCTGTTTACACCTCCATCATTTAGTTCTCAATTTCCTCTAAAACAGGTTCTCAGAAAAGTAACTGAAGCAGATGGCTTTGTTTCCCCTCAGCAAAATTTCTGCCACACATGTGCTACTCTGCAATCTATAAATAAACAGAATGATGCAGCCGCAGCAGTAAGTCACCCTCTCTCACACACACACACACACACACACACACACACACCTGCCCGGCGAATATCCCGCAGACACCAATGATGCAAAGGATGTTGAAGACCGCTGAGCCAACGATTGTCCCCACCCCCACATCACCATGGGTGATGAAGACACCTGCACACAAGGAGGCAGCCAGTCAAAATTAGTGGTGACACTGACCATCTGGAAATGTCTAGGTGTACAGTGTGTGTATTTACCAATGATGGATGCAAACAGTTCTGGTGCTGAACTGCCAGCAGCCATGAAGGTGGCTCCAGCAACATCTTCACTCAGGTCTAGTTTCTGCAGAAATTAAGCATAAAGGGCTGGCTTATGCAGACAACTCAACATCGTGTAACTAACACTGAAAGATGCCAAGGTCCAAGTACCTCACAAATCTTCTCCAGCGATGTCACAAAGTACTCATCGCATGTTATAGCGAGGGCCAGAAACATGTACAGTGCCTAGAGACAGAGCCAACACAGTCAAGTTTACAAAAAGTGTATGCGTGGCAAGGGCAACAGACTGAGAATACAACCATGTGCATCTAAATAAATACACCCATAATCACTTGAGCTAACAGAGCTAGTCTCCTGCTAGAGGACGGATGAAGGGGAATCTTAAAGCATCACCCATTTAAAATCAAACCAGCATTAAATCTAAATGCGAGTTCAGTGACAAGCTGTTTTCCCCATCTTGTGAAAAACCTACAAGATCTGCATACTCCTATCGTATGGGGGGGAGGGGGGTTTGTCAACCTATTTTGGTAGTCAAGTGATATATAAATTATAGACCAGCTGTGACATCATCACAGTTTCACAGCACTGGGAGTGCTTTGCTCTATGCAACCCACAGGGGGCAGTGCAGGACCACAGTTATGAGTGGGTGCACTGGATTACAGCTCACATATTTGAAATAAGACCTATGCTGTTCTGAAAATGTCAGTGTGTCACCAAGAAGCATTTTAATGTTACAAGAAAAATCAAACTGGATGGAGCACAAAACCCAACAGATCATGAGGTTGTTAATGTCGGTGTATCTCACTTCTCATTAAAGTTAGCCCACCTAACCTTCTGGGCTTTAAAAGCTGGCAAAGCAGTTGTTTACTATATGAAAACCTCACTCCATCTCGAACCAGCTGAACTCCACCATAGTGATAACTGAGGACAAAGGTATTGCAGGTGCAGCTTTTAAAAGAGGTCCTCTTACCGCCACTATGTGCAGCAGAACGGCTCCCATCTTTCGCTCATCATTGGTGAAAACGTCATCAGGGAACTCGTGTATTGCTGATGAGACAGAGAAAATGTCAGTCACCACACATTAGCAACATGTCCTCACCCTTAAGGACAGTGAATTCAAGGACTTAATATTTCCAAAGCACTGAAAGGGACAAAACTTTGTCTGAAAATAATCTTCAGCCTGAATTACATCATACTGCAGAGAAACCAGTGAGTTCATACCTACCCCACTGCTGCCAAAAAGGCTTTTTAAAAAGCTTGTGCTACATTAAAAAGGCGAAAGCCGTACAGAATAAAAAGCAAACAGGCAGAAGAAGCCCCCCCCCCCCGGCGGGGGACCCGCCTTCCGGATCCCACAGTGCACCTGCCTGACAAAACCCAGCACCTATTGGAAACAGCCTCTGTCTGACCTCTCGCTGTCGGGCCTGGGCTGCATCTTAAACTCACAATGCCAATATGATCACTAACTGAGGTTGGGTTGTTGGCTTGCTAACATTTACTAATTAGCATTAATCACAACTGTCAAATGTTTTGCAGGTATTTAGTCAAACCAGAAAGTTGAAACACTTAAATTTTGACTTTATAATGGTTCTAGATGTAGAGGATCACCAGATAATCCTGAGGGGAATATGAATGTCTTGACCCAAAATGGCACAGCAATCTATTCAATAGTTGTAGGTATATTTCACTCAATCCCTTCTTGAGATGTTTCAGTTGCTAGTGGCACTAGAGGAAAAGTCAGAGGATCATCATGGTCAATTTATTCTCTAGAGATCATGACCCAGGAACCATGAGGACATTTCATAATGGACTGACATAACTTGCTGTGACTAGTGCCAAGAACGTGTTTTAAAAAAAAATAAATAAATAAAAAGCTGAGTGCACTGCTGTGGTATTACTTATGGACTGTAAAAATTCAAAATGCAACAAAGCGCAGTTGCCTGTGCCAGCACAACAATGTGCTTACTTCAGGACGTAGGCAAGACTTTGACTCAAAGTTGAACACTGCTCATCGGAGACTTCACACTGCACCTGTCCCAGCCTCCCGATGGCCATTTTTTTGGGATATTCAATGGCGCGCACACACACACACACACACACACACGAACCAACACAGCATTTGGAACACCGCAGAAGCAAAATTAGATACACAACAGGATGCAGTCCAAACCCGCTTAAATCAACTGCATGTCTCCTGGATTTCATTCAATTACATCACATAAATGGAAATGTGATACAATTTGTTATCGCTATACATCATCCAACACATTTTCTTTGCAACAGCACCAAGAGCCATGGATACCAAGACACCACCATACTATTCCTGGAAGAGGGACGCAAATTAAATCGTTAATCTAAAATTAATCTAAACTGATTTATACGCCTTGTCACAACCAACACTTCAGCACTTCACAGTGCAATAAACGCACCTGGTTGGATAAGGGGACATAAAAAAAAATTAGATGCGAGTAATACAAATTATGAACTTAATACATAATAAACTAGAGAAGCCCTTGGGGGAATTAGAATCTAACAGCAACACCGACTGTGACAGGGGGCTCTAGCTCCTTTAATTTTTGACAGGTTTACGCGGAGGTTTACGAACAAAATGTAGTGGAAAGCTGACGGCCTCGAGCAAAAAGGTGCAATCAATTACAAGGTTTGTCAGCTGTGCCCTGAAAACAAACTGATGCCAATACAGGAGACTAAACTCCTAGTGATCTCTCAGACAGCCCCAAAACCATACATTAATCAGGCTGCATTTTATGCTTCTGAAAAATTTATAAAATAAATTAAGAACACGGAACAGTATCACATGTGAATTTCCTGCTGTCCAAGCCTTTTCACCCTCTGCTTTCATGTTCAGTTAAACACCCTGTAGGTCTGCCATTAATCAATAATTGATGCCATTGCCATCAATCTTCTTTAGTTACCCGGTGCTATATACAATTAGTTCTGACTCAGAGTGTTAAAAATAGGTGATCACAAAGATGTTTAAAGGGCACCGGCACTGGGACAGCATAGAGATGACAGGCAGGGGTCACCTTCCCATCTCTATAAACAGTCACCCAGACAGCGTTTGTCTGCATCTCCTCATTACAGAGGTCACACCGGACATCAACATGCCTCCACAGCCGTTTCCCCCACACACAGGGACACGACGTACACACAGTAATGGGCCAACACACAAATTGCTTAAGTGGTGCATCTGAAATGAAGTCCACAAATAGAATCATAAATAATACCCAGCTAAATTGAATGAAATGTCACTTTGACAGAAGTTGAAGGCACAATGTTATGACGCATCATGGATGTACAGAGACAGAACGCAAAGCATCACGCTCTGAAAACCAGTTAGCCGTTTTTAGAAAAAGAAAATAAAAACACACACCTAAAACCAACCATGTGGTAGGATGCACCATCAACAAAGTAAAGAACCCATAGTTAGTTTTAAAAGCTGCTAAACAAGACGTGAGGTACTAGCGGGAATAATGGGGATCCTGGCGGCTTGCTAGCAGAGAGTCTTTGTAAAAAGACAATTGTTAAAGAGGCACCTTCACTCAATACAAAGTAAATTGAGTGAGAGGAACCCCCGGTCTATTAAATCCTAGATTTTAAAAAAAGAATCATCATATAATAAACAGCTGAGTAAAAACAATATGACATGAACAAGATGTTTTGGCCGAGTGCCTGGTGCTACCTACTGTCACAGTGCAGCCAGGTCATTAACAGAACACAACTGAAGAGTGATTCAAGAGACTCTTCAGAGCAGAATGATTCCTGGGGGCCATTATTAGCCCATTAGATAATTAGCTTACTCCAGTGAGCTGTGTGACATGACTAACAGACATCAGCCATTCTTGTAAACAAAGTCAACACTAAAAGTCGCCTTATGGGAAAATCTTTGTCACACAGAAAAGATAGATTATAGAAAGCTCAGGTGTTTAGTTAACCCACCACACACACACACACACACACACACACACCCACCCCATTATCCTCCTGCAGTGCACTCACATGATCAAGTAAGCACTTTCAAAAAAAATATCACATTTCCATGACGTCCCAACAGCCTTTATGAGCCCGTGTTTATGACGGTGAGCAGTCAGGCTGTGGGCGACCCAGTAAGCTCATGGATTAATAAACCAAAGGGAACACCGCTGTGAAACATATGCACTCAGCTGTGTAGAGGAGAAACAGGGATACAGCGCCTTCAGGGTGATGTGAGAACACGGCTACTGCGCTGTTGTGACTATACGGTGCACTTTAAGCCTGTGCTTTCTAGTCTCAATTTTAATGAAAACAGTAAGTCGCATTACCCAAAAGCACAACAGAACAAAAACTGAGAAATAAAAAAAAAAAAAAGGCAGCAACTCTGATGCTGAACGAGGTGAATGGATAAATAGAGCTCAGGCGTGTTTAGTCCGCAGAGTTCAGAAAGTGCTTTGTGCAGGTGCCTGTGCTCCCCCCTCTCTCTACACTGTTTCACTGCTGCCATGCAAGCAAGGTCAGTTTCCATTATGCACAGTAGCATAATCCCATTTTATGTGATTCCCTTTTAAAAAGCCTCCTTCTGGCGTTTCCCTGGAGTTGACAAACCTGCTTTCCAGCGTCAACTGGCTGTTACCCGCTGGCAGCTTTATACCTCACGTTTGCCGCCAAATTTCTTGCCTGCTTTCCCCCAAAAATAACTCGGTAACAGCCATCCCACATTTGCCTTGAATGCTGCTGCCTTCTTTGAGCCAGCAGCAGAAGCCATGTTCTACCCACTAAAAAAAAAAAAAAAACCAATACACTGCAGCACCTGCAGGCCAGAATTACCCAAAGTTCCTCTTCACCCCTACATCTGCTCATGCAACATGTGCATCCCCTGTTCATGAGCAGATTACTACCATATTGAAAACCACAATAATCACATCCCATTGGATTAATTCATAGTACAAACCAAGTCACACAAAGAACTCTGTTGTTCATCTCTGCTGTTTGCATTTACATCCATCAGGCCAGTTATGCCACTTAAGTGAGAGGTTTTAATATACAGCCTGGAGGACCCCATAAAACATTTCTGAAATAAAAGCAGCTATTCATTTTGTTCTGAAGCTCACTATTGACTGGGAATGGATAATCTTTACGTAATGCTCCAAACATGGCACATTTACCCAAAACTCAACACCCCGTGACGACAACGTCACATTCTCCATTGCAACCTTGGATGAAACTGAGGCTCAAGTGCAATTGTTCCATTCATCATCAATCGATCCTCTAGCAATCCCATGATGAGGAGTGGCATGACTCGAGGTCTGCATGTGATAGCTGTGAGAACTCAGGGCGTTAGCTCCTTGTAGTGTGATTCAATGCTTTTGCAGATTCTAAGAATGCATTGTAATCAAGGAAGGAGCCTAAAAAGAGAAAAGTCCCTAAAATTGTCATTTTCTTCATACACCAGTTTGTTGGTGGTATGACGCTGAAACTTGTCCAGATAAAATTCCTTACAAGTAATTTTTTGCCTCCAGGGCACAGTCAAAACAACCAATATACACCATGGCATACGTTTTAGCTAGTATTTGCAGACTGCACACGTCTTTTTGGCCACTTGATACATTTATGCCCAGAATTCACTCTGTTTAGCTCCACTTAGATCACCACCAACTTCTGAGGGTGTGGGGAGTCTCGCACTGACAAAATGGTAAAAACATTTAGTATCCATAGTAAATAACCTCAGTCTTCCACACCTACAGCCAGAGCAACCCACGCTGGCCACAGCACAGGAATCAGTCGGCCGAGGTGAACAAAGTGTACAACAGGATTATTCACAAGACCAAGACGCGGGAACAGAGAGTCATATGATCAGCTCACACTGATGAGGCAGAACAGTGGTGGTGGTGAGATACTAGAGCAAAACGATAAATGTGTGGAATGTCAAGCACAGTCTGGTGCCTCATGTGAATGGAAAGAGGTAATCCGGGAGGGATGAGGAGGGAAAACTGTCCGGCACAATCTTATCATTCGGTGCTCACTTCAACCGAACCCCACTTTGACTCAGAGAGTTCACATTTACATGGTCACAATTCTGAATACTTCAGTATCGGTGGTGTAACAATTGTTGCTTTGCTTGTTTTTTTATATATATAAACTGAAAAACCCTGGGGAAGTCTGCCTATTATGTCATTACTGGTCGCAGCATGCAGTTAGTCCTCCACTAGGTCTCTCACTCACACACACACACACACACACACACACACAATGCAACACTTCAAATTACTTCCAAATTGCCTGTGCCCTGGTGTCATCTTCAGTGGGCTTGTCAAATACACACAGTAATACAATGCCCAATATAAAGTGGCAGCATATTTAGCTAAATAATAATTCTCAGGTGTTTAAAAATAAATAAAATAAAATCCACCATGCACATCTCTACATCACGATTTCCTCCTCTAGGTGTGGGGGTCGTGTTTCTGCATAACTCAAAAAGGTACTGGATGGATTTGGATGAAATCTTGGAGATGTATGGTACGGCTTACAGACCGATTGATTAGATTTTGGTGCTGATCTATCATAATTAGGATGTATATTTTTAAATTATTAACCATTGTGAGTGCAGGGAAGGCTGGTGGTATGCAAGCTCCCTTGTGGCCAGATTGTGCTCCTGTGTTGCTGAGCACATACACAGCTGGGGAAAGATCTAACCTATGTAGCAACAGCTGGACAAGAGTCTGATGCAGAGATTTTGAGCCAGGCTTTTTCTCTTTACCATCACCTCACAGGTTGACGAGTACAATCTCACTTTGCTTTTCCATTGTATTCTTCCCTGTCAGAATGTGGCAACTTTGTCGCTTTGACTTGTAGGGGTAAAACGTGGGCCTCAGGAAATCTCATTTTTCTTGAATAACTTTCAAACTACTAATGAGATCAAAATCCAAATGCCAGCAGTAGGTTTTCATGATCAAGCAATCATATTATGAGAGCCAAACCATCATGGGAATATTGCTTTTATGGCATTTTGGAGAAATGGATTTTCCCCTTGGCAGAGGTCTGCACTGTCTGGCTTTAGACTGACGTTTTTGTAAAGGAAAAAGCAGGTGATCCCTACATTCTCTACAGCCGTAAGTACATACAAGTATACCCTGGGAGCTTTAACGCCAGAATCACAAAAGGCTCATGTGAACCTGTGGTGGAGGAAAGAAAACTGGCAATACAAACACGGGAAACAAAAACAAATGACCTTACTTGTGCACCGTCTTGGTGAATAATTTCATTAAAAATGTAGCTGTAACGTTTATGTAGCCTAATGCAGAAGTCAGCAGCGACAGTGTCAGCACACAGTCCAGTATAACCAATTATATAGAATGCTGCTACCTTTAAGTGTAGCACAGAAGCTGTACCATAATCAATACTTGAACCTTTTAATAGACCTTTCACTGTTTATTGCAGTGCAAGGGATCTAAGCCGAGTCAGTACAATATAGATCCAACAAGGAGGTGAATTAAAGCTGCACATCAACTCAAACATCATGCTTATGGAATCTTAAAAGTCAGATCTTTCCTCTCAATACATCCTTTTAATACTAGTTTATGCAGTGGTCCTCTGCATGAACTGGTGGATTCTGAGCTGCTGCATGAAGATCATTAAGCTTTTTGAAAAGCAAAACGTGTACATTTGGGGAGTTTTTTTTAATAGTTCAATGGATCTTTGATGAAGGTGTTGCACTGATTTAGTCACTCTCCTTACTGAGAGAAGTTGAGACTATTTCATTGGCAGAAAATTAAATTAAAGCACATCTGTAGACCCCCCCTTGTGTTTGTGAGCAATGATATTGACATTATCACTTATAATGCAAACTGGCCATTTACAGATACAGCAGACACGAAGCGATACATTTCTGTCCAACCAGCAAATAAAAGTCCAGCACTGATTCTCCATTTAACTCAGTTTTCATGTCCACTAACTCCTGATGGAAATAGACTGTGGCTCTTAAATGTTCCACTATGTTCAGCAGCTAGTAGCTAAACCGCCTTTTTGGTGCTAGATTCATTGACTATTTGCATTTTGAAAACAGCCACCTGCTGCTTGAAGACCAGAAACCTAAGACAGCTGTGGAGGAAAACCGCTATGTCAGATGGTAAAATGCCTTGTTGGTTTGTTTGACAAGCTACAGTCATCTTTCTGCAGCATATTTAAGCAACAGTTTGATAAAAAAAAAAAAAAAAAAAAAAAACTGATTGCTAATGCAGCTTTAATCTCAGACCTGGCTCTGAACAGTTCTTTGCCTCCGTTTCGTTGTCTGGTTCTGAAGCCATTAGCCTTCTCCCCCAGTGTTCAACATCTGCATGTCCCTCCACCACCATCCCATGGCCTGAAATGGAAAAACAAACAAAGCTTTGATTATTCGACATTCACATAAATACAAGACTGCAGTGTGCAACATGTTGGAGGTTAATGCTAAATATCTCCTGCTATGATCCTAAAAGGCCTTTTTCTTTTGCTGCAGGGAAACCTTTAAACTCCATTTTGCCTATTCTAAATCTAACATGGCCACTCTTGCATAGAGTATGTTTGACTCAAAACATCCATGATCATTAGTCCAAATAAGGTTGCCTTTCTTTAATCTCTTAAAAGTTTCCATTTATGTAGATGATATTTTCCATCCAGCAGCTACAGGAACATGTCATAATGCAGCTGCTGTGCCATTATGTTTTGGGGTAGGGGAGGAGGAGTGCATAATTTCATTAAAGTGCTCTTAAGCCTCTGTAATGATGACATTAAATAAAAAAAAATATTTAAAAAAAAAGACTGCTTTTTTTTTTAAGTATTATGGCAAATCATGTCAAATAGGAAAGCAATTTTAAACTTTCAATTTTTATTAAATAACACCATACAAACACTACGTTGAACCAAAAAACCAAAACTAACTTGCTGCAGGATAATTAGGAGTGATTGTCTGTTTCATTCATACCAAAGTCGTTCATGTACAGACATCTGTCCCATTTTGGTTGTCAAAGACTTTGTGTGTAGCAGTGGCTTACCATCTTAGGGTTTAAAATATTCTCCCTGCAACAGCGAAGGTGATCAATAGCAGCCAGGTTTTTTTTTTTGGCTGATAAGCGCATCCAGTAGTCAGAGTAAACAGCACTAGGTTAAAGCAAATCGCTCCAACCTGTTTTGTTCTCGTCACCAAGCAGCTCAGTTTCACTCTGCTTTGTGTCGAATTTTAATCCAGCAATGCAAACAACAAAACACTGTCCAGCAATGTCAGGGGAGGACACAGATGCCAATTTGTACTCGTAACAAACACACAGACCCTAGCGAGAAACCACGTCATTCCCAACAAAGGAATTATTGGTAGGGAACTGGAGCTGATCTTTTACATTTACACAACTATTGGTGTGGATATGGGTTAGTTTTTTTTATGGCCAATTGTGCTTGACAATCCACCTAACTAACACTTCCAGGCAGTTATGTGTGGAATCACTTAACTGCAATGAAAAACTTATGCTTTTAAGACACAGAAGACTTGACAAGGCACAACATCTGCATGTTTGTGTGTGTACTGGGGCCATTCACTGTGCTGAGCTCACGCTGCCAAACACCCGAGAGGAGGAGGAAAAAAAAGACCTGATCCTGTCAGTACTTCTAGGCAAGCTAGGGGTGAATTAAAGGCTGCAGTCTGTTGTGGCTATGCAGTTGCTGACTTATGCTACATTCACTTTCTTCTCCCCACCAACTCATTTTCTCAACTCTCCATTGTCTATAACATTTCAGAAAATTTCATAAAATGCCATTCATAAAGTCACAAGAATCCAACGTGATCCATCAGAATGGCTTGTTTTTATTCTTGCCAATTGTCCAAAACATGACAGCGTTTACCATCACACATTAAAGCACATCTGGCAAACTGGAACCACTGAATATTTGGCATTTTTTGCTTTTAAAGATGTCTGAAAAGATTAGTTGATTATCAAAATAGATTGATTTCACATCGATTGTCTCAGGTCTACATTGTACTCCAGCTTCTTGCATGGGGTCAAGAGGTCAACTCCTTGTTAGTGACTGATGGGATGTAAAAAGCAAGATTTAGACTTGCCCGTTGTTGGTGGAGGTTTACTTTTCTGTCTGCCTTCAAGTTGCTTTATAGGTTGCTCTGTTAATACTGCACGCTGAATAAGACCTGGTGAAATTCTAAAAACTGCAGCACAAAAAGGCACCAAGCACATTAAATCTACTTGCTAGCTATGGAGCAGAAACATAATGGAGTACACATCAAGCAGACTTTACAGAGTTGCAGAGGGACATGTCTGTGTCTTCAATCTATACTTCAGCTTTGTTCAATAAAGTTCAGGGGATGGACCAACAGCTATCCGTCAATCTTGCTGTGCAAGTACTCACATCCCTGTTACCAAAAACATCTTGCAGCTACCTGTCAGAGCTCGGCCTTACCCTACTTCTCAAACGCACCTGCTCTATCCTCCCATGTGGAGCACCATCGCACACAGTTCACACAGTCAGTGTGATCACCATGCATGATGGCATTTTGTGCCCCCACCCCTCTTTATGGAGATGCAACCAAGGAGAAGTACATCAAATCCCAACCATCTGGACCACTCAGCACATTAACACGTCACTGGCAATCAAACGGGGTGGCAAACACAGGGTACAGGTTTCTCTGTGCCGTGACAAATGGTTGTTCCTGTTGGGATGGCAGCAGGATTAGAAGAACACAGCTATTCAATTACAAAGATCTGATTATGGTGAGCTCCAGTTCTCACATGTTTAGAGGGGATTTCTGTTGCTCAGACACCATCATGTATGTCACCTTGAACGCCTACCATCACCACCACTGCTAGCTGCTGGCCAAACAGCTGATATTCACAAGAGACCGTTTTTTGCTCAATACCCCCACATGATAATCACTGTACCAGTCACCCAAACTTTAAAAAAATGTAAACAGACGAGCCATTAGTGACTGAGATCTGTATGATATCATTCCAGAATAATCTTTTAAGCCTCTTGTTGGTTTTAATGTAATTAATAAAACTCCAGACAGGCCTACATCAGATTTCTACTGTCAGGTAGTAGTTGTGGTGCATTTACAGCTGCCCTCAGCACTCGGGGCCTTAGTGGTTGCAGGTGGATGGACCCCACTGGTCTGGGGCTGAAGTTTATGATTAAAGCACAAGGGAAGAACAAAAAAATATTAAGTCTTTTTTTTTTTACAAAAATACCCGATTTAAATCAGGAATACTGCATTGTGGCTCAGCCGGGAAATCTTAAAATTCATCTTGGCACTGAACACGGTCTTATTAACAGTAGTGTCCACTGGCTGTGTTTTGTCCAGTTAAACACTGGTTCCAGTGGTGTGCCTGATATCATTATGCACCAGCAAGCTTTAGATTACATTAATTGTATTTGAGACTGTGCGGGATGATGTGCGTGTCAGCGTTTTCACTGGCCTGAGGTAAGAGGTTTGACATGTGCTCACGAGAACGCATGTTGTCTGGAGTGTGTCTGCCTGCATGGGGGCATCACACGCATCACGCATGATCAGGCATCTGAATCGTTTGCCCCGCACACACCAGCTATGATTGCTGCTACATCTAAAAGCGCCACACTGTTTTAAACCGCTACTAAATGATAGCCAGTGGCTTCTGCGTAAAAATCGGTTGCCCTCGATCGCCATGCGGAAACTGGTGGGGTGACTGAGGTGATCCGGTGCGTGGAGCCCCGGGCCAGACGCGATGATGCCAGCATTAACCATGATCCTGTGCTCCAGTGTAGTGTGTCCCTGGCGCCAGAAAACAAAAGATTTCGGAGAAAAAGGACAAACGCGCAAATAAACCACAACCTAACAGCGCTCGTTGTGGGGTCGTTACTTGATCGCTGTGTGCATGTGGAGCATGGAGGTGTGCATGTGCCGTGATTATGAGCCTGCCCTCACATTAAACGTGCAGCTGCCACGGCGGGCACACTGCGGCACATACGAGCAAACAGACACGGAGATAAAATTGCTGTTAAACGACAGTAACGCAGAGCTGACTTTCTCCAAAGAGTATGGGCCAAAACCAAAGCCCCATGTTAATAAAGCCAACCACACTTCATCTAAAGAAATCCAAGAGGCACCGTATACACGTCTGACAGGAAAACAGCTGAAAGTGCACGTGAATATAGCGACTGGAACCTATGCCTT